CGTCCAGAATGTCAGGAAAAGTGGGAAAACCCAGGTAACGTACGAAAACCTACGTAACGTACGTTTTCGGCAGTCTTTAGAATGGCCGGAAATCCCTCCAAACGTCAGGAAATAGTATTTTCCCTAGCAAAAACCACCAAAACACAAAAAAAAAAAGACCCAAAGAAAAAGAAAAAAAAGCCCCAAAAAAAAAATCCACCCAAGGCACAGGTGGAGCCCCCCGAGGAAATGTCCGCTTCGAGCTTTTGTCGCGTCGGCAGCGAATGTACGCTGGAGCAGCTGCAGAAGCAGATGGATAAGAAGGCTATGGCAAGTGGGTCAATGAAGGCTATGGCAAGTGGGTCAACGCCGGACCCCGAGCGTCTCGACAGCATCGTGCCAGACCCATGTCCATTGCGAATGCCGAAGACAGGGACAGGTGCAGAGTCCCTTCCGGAGTTCCTTCCACTCGGGCACCGTCCAACCATGAGGACCTTGCGTTCTGCACTCAACAACCTTGTGTTGGGGCGGTTGGTTGTGGATGTCGAGAGCATTCCTGAGGTGCCTCTCAACCAGGAAAAGTGCTGTCAGGCTTGTATCGATCGGCTCTGTGTCATGCTTTTGCTACCCATTGGCGTGGTCCTACACGGCCGACCTTGCTGGGTAATGACTGTTCGCAGTGCCTCGGTGATGACGTGCACAGTGCTGTGGGCAGCGTGCTTGTACTCGGCGATTACTCGAGGAAGCACGGGGTGGGAAAGGAGCAGCCGCTGGCTACATGTGTCGGAAGCAACTGCGAACCTGATCCTCTTGTTGCTGAAAGCTTGCAGCGTTAGCTTCCACGAGTTCAATTCTCATGTGAAGGAGGCCATGCAGTCCCAAAACATGGGTCCATCCCCAAAGTCGGCCATCAAACGGCACATCCTTGTGATCATGGCATGCCTCACCTGGTGGATGATTGGCCATGTCGCGAAGGTCCGACTTGTTGCAATGAGCGGTGGGCAGATGACATGGCAAGTCGCCGTGTTGCCTTGCCTCCAATGGCTTTATCGTGCGGCTTGGGTTTTATGGCTCCTGCGTTTGAACGAGTTTGTCAACGAGCTCGTGGACGCCTTCTGCCGGAGCTGCGCGAGTACCCCTGAAGGTGTTGACTTAGCCTACATCCGCTGGGCTCGCATCTCTGCTTTAGTCGGGCAGATCACACGTCATTGCCAGACAGTATATGGAGTCGTGTGTGTGACTGCGTTGACGGGTGGAGTTGCCCCCATTGCGGAGATATTCATGCCATGCAGCTCCTCGCAGAGCATCGACTGGATGCTGCCGCAGCTCACAGCGAGCATCGCGGCGTTCTGGTTGATGGCATATGTCGTTGCGAGTGCTGCAGCGCTGACTGAAAAGTGCAAGAAGGCAGCTTCCTTTGTGAATAGCTTGCAGGCTTGCTTACCCGGGCAAGGGAGGGCTGAGATTAGGCGACTGGTCGGCTACATGGAGAGCAGCGAATCTGGCATCTTCTTTGGGGGATCCAAGCTCGATCTCTCCTTGTATTCAAAGCTGCGGTACTTGACCTTCAGTGCCTCGGTCTGCTTGGCCGTACGCTTCCAGACCCTGCCGGAGAAACACAAGGATCAGCTCGCAGAACAGTGGGGCCGTTTCCTGCATGCTTTGGCTGTGTGGGAGTGAGCAGTGGGGATTGAAAACAGGAACAGCTGGGTTGGTGCCAAGTCGACAGGCCATGGAAATAATTAACTGGCCGAGGAGCCAGCCCAAGCTTTATAAAGTGGGGCTCTCGTGCACGCGTACAGAATTTGTTTCAAGCCGCATCGTGCTGCTGCTACAGGTGGTCGAGGTGAGCATCCAAAAACTTCCCCTAAGCTACATTTCCAGCCTAGGGTTTGTATTTGTTTGAGATTTAGGGTTATAGGTTCCACCGTAGGGACTTCAAGCCCCAAGATTGCACATGTCATCTGGGCAGCGGCAGCGGCGATCTCAGGCAAACGCCAATTCTTGCCTGATCCCCGTCCACACTTTATAAACACCATATCGGCCTTCGTGTTCTGACCGATGTTCGCCGTGTTGACCCCGAACGGGTTTGCTTTGTGCTGCTCTTCTTCTGATTGCCAATGTTGCTACACTTGAAGACTAGGTTCCGAGCAGTTAGTAGACCTCAATAAGACTACCGTTTATAGTGTGATGGCTGTTGTTCTATTTCCCTTCTTATTGCCTAAAGTTCTTTGTAATTTTCCTCGCTTCATGTCTTGGAGGCTTTAATGAATGAATGGGTCCTTCCCATGACTCCGAGCCTTTGCGGCGGTCATGAACGGGCAAAAAATCGGTGCCCCCTACGAGTTGCCGAAGTGGCTGTGGAGAGAGTGAGCCATTGCGTTCCCTGTACACGAGCACTCGGTCTCCCAGTCTGTTCGGCCATAAGGTGGGGTGTGGTAGGATTCGTTGCTTTCAGATGGAACACTTCACTGCAGGACTTGTAGGCCCCAAACCCTGAACCCCTAAACCTTTATTCCTGTACCCAACTCGCCCTCAGGTCTGGGTACGTGAAGTTTGTGCCCGACTCGACGAGTTTGACCGAAGTCCTGCACCAGCCGCAGACCTCAGGTCAGATGCAGGGACTGCAGAACCTATCTGTGGCGAACTGCCATGCCCTTGTGCACATCCGTGTAAGCTGCAGTGCGTGGGCTCACTTGCAGCGTCCAGTTTTCCTAGCTTCCCTGCAGCTGAGCAGAAGCTGGAGCCGAACACAGCCCAAGTCAGCACGGGAGGCAAGCTGCGAAAAAGCCAGAGAGCAGTTCGGTCCTTGAGGCATTTTATTGCTACGCGAAGAAAGTACGAAACAAGGCAGGGTTCGTGACACTCGGGGCCTACAGTGCCTTGATCTTGCCAGCTTTGCCATGACGAGCCGCAAGCTGCTCGTCTCCAAGTTGGGTTGCGGGTGTGCATTACAAATACAACATGTCATACTATAGCTTACATACAACTACGCAAAGTTATATATTGCTGCATTCTACAGTTTCGAACTATACAAAGTTGTAGTACGCTACATTATATTATATGCCATTACCATATGCTAGAGTATATGCTGTATCGTACTGGGCTACACTACGCCATGCTAGACCGTCCTATGTGATATTATGCTATACTTTGGACTGGTAGCCCGAATCCTTTGGCACATTGTGGTAGTCTTTTTTCGGGATGAAGTACGAAGGAACCCTAAACCCTAGTACTTGCAGAGACTGAGGGCAGATGGCTAGTGTTCCAAATTAGTGTCCCTTTCAGGGTCCTTTTTATAAGGGGTGGCGTACTGTATTGGACCCTAATGTGGAGAACTACCCAGATGGCTAGATTGCGGAGAAGATGTGGCCCATTCAGTTATCCGGCAGCCTCTGGGGTATGGTGTCGAGAGCCTAGATGTCCACAATGACGAGAGGGCAGACAGGCCTTCTCAAGGGCTACTATGAGGGAACCGTCACTTTGAGCCTCACAATCGCGATCTTCCTTATGATCAGCTTCCTGATCGTTACCATGTAGTATCAGCAGCATCATCGATGCCTCATCCTCATCTTCACCAGCATCCTTGTCATTTTCGCCGACTCAGCATCAGTGTCCTCCTTCTCGTCCCCCTGATGTGTTTCAGTCATTAGTCCAGCAGCACTTGCGCAACCACCACAATCGCCACCACTGGCAGCGCCGCCGCCATCATAATCACTGTTGTCGTCATCGTCATCATCATCAGCACTGCCACTGCCACCCCCAGCCCCACCACCACCACCACCATCATCATCATCACCACCACACCATCACGAGCACAAATCGGATGTTGCATCGGCGGAGTTGCTCGGACAGAAAAGGAGACCGGCGGCCGCCCTGGCTGAGGAGGACAAGGTGGGCAAGGGATCAGACATGAGGTCGCGCGAATGGACAACATCACGGAAGCTGCCCGCGCCGGCATTTCTGCACCACCTTGCGCCCTGAAAGCTGGGGGGAGCTGCCGGTAAGCCCCGAACCCAACTCCTAGAGCCCAAACTGTACAGAAGTGTAGATGCTTGTGGTAACGAGTGTGCCCCCTCAGCCAGGCTGCCTGCATCCTCCGGCCGCCCCAAACCCAGCATAGTTCACGGACCTGGTGACAGGCAGAGGTTTTGGGCTTTGTCGTCTTTTGCGACAATCGAAATTACAGTAGCCCAGCACCAGAATCATGAAGAAGTCCTGCATCACAAGTGATGAATATTGAAAATTGCGAAAGCCCTGATTCGGAGCCACTGAATTGCAAGCCAGACCGTGGCTTGCAGTGGCTAGCACACAGAAACTCGCAGTATAGGGGCATTAAGAATTCGTGAGAATACGGGGGCAGCGGGTGTTACGTAGCACGTATAACTGTAGAACAATGTGTGGACTATAAGGGGATGCTGGTACTAATGGGCCCGAGATGTGCACGTTTGCAGCTTGTACGTTTCATAAGCCTACCGGTGTCTTCGAACATGCCCACCATGCGCACTTGGCGAACGCTTCAGCGATGTGCCGTTTGCCCCTCTCTTGACCCCAAAACCTTATAATGACACCTTGAACTCTAAAACACGGGTCAGAACGGAACAGGTAGGAGAGAGGGTTGTTGAGAAAGCAGCCTGAAACCCTACTCTGACTAAATGATCAAGGCCCCTTTTGTTATGGCACCTGGCAACCCTGAGAGTGGCTGCGAGTTGTCACTGCCGGGGTGCTTTATGGTTTTAGGTTTCTTGCATGATTGACTGGGTTGTTCGACTTTGAGCTAGCAAGTGCAGCGAATGACCTGAAAGCCGCTTGTGCGAGTGCGTGCGTCGAAAGCCGAACTCTGGTGCATGCCAGCAAGGTGGCAGGCAAAACAATTAACACAGAAGCATGATAAGACCTCATTTTCAAAAAGCCCCTACAAAGCCCTTTCAAACCCTGCAAAAAAATCCTATAAAGCCGTATAAGCCTAAAATCAAGCCCATTATATGAAGCCTTTTTTTTATGAAAACAGGAGCTTCCCGTTTTTGGCCGAGGCCCCACAGCAGCGAGCGCTTCGAAGCCCTCGGCGCAGCGCTGCGCCGAGGCCGCCTGGTGGCTTTCCCCACGGAGACGGTGCCCGGGGCCCCAGGGGTTTAGGGTCTAGGGATATTTAGGGTTTAGGGTGTAGGGTTTAGGATTTTAGGGTTTAGGGGGCCAGGTCGAGTTTAGAGGCTGGCAGAAAGAGTTTAGAAGATATGTAGTGGGCGCAGGGGCGGTGGTAGGGATTTTAGGTTCTATGGCCTGGATGCTATAGGGCTGAGGGCCAGGAGGGTTGGAGAATTGGGGTTTAGGGTGTAGGGTTGATGCAAGAAGGGTGTAGGGCTTCGGTATCGAATGCACTTAGCTGTGGCCTTGAGGGCTTGGGCTTGTTTTGACTATTCCCATGTTGGAGATTTGGATTCCTTTGGTTTGGGGACCCTAAACCCCAAACCCTAAACCCGAGAGTGCTAAGTGAAAAAAAACCCGAGAGAGGGAACCAAAAACCCTAGATGTGGTATTTCGGGGCTTTGCGTTTAAGGTCGGGGCTGGGGCTTGGGGTCCGGCTCTCCCGCTCTGGCAAGGAAGGAAAGAGCACGGGCCCGTCATTACAAAAAGGTGAAGTCAGCCTATGCTATATGTATGTGTGTGTATATATTGTATCTTTCTCTCTCTCTCTCTCTCTCTCTCTCTCTCTCTGTAAATACCCAGACATAAAGCAATGCCTATGGTGGAGGTCGCCACGGTCGTGCAGCAGCACCTGGTACTGGTGCTGCTGCCGCTGAGATGATGACGATAATGCCGATTGTGGTGGTGCTGGTGGTGGTGGTGGTGGTGGTGGTGACGACAACGACGATCAAAGACGAAGAGTCATGACTATGGGCGGGCTGCTTAAAGCCGTCATGATGCCTGAGACGCGTCATTCTGGCCATCATGATCCTGACGTGTGCGATCGTGGAAAGCTCCTGTCACGATAAGGGGCCTGGGTTTTCATCGTCTTCCATCGTGGCAACAAGGGGTTGCAGTCATTTGCTGGGCCGGTTAGACGGTCACATAGAAATTGTCTTGCAGAAATCCAAAAACGACATCAATCAGCAAACACACCCAAAATCGAGCATGTTTCCATCCGGAACACGACACAAGATACAGGAGTGGGGTTTGGGTTTGGTTGCTTTCCGCCAAACTGTTATATCCAAAGCGATTTCCTAAGTTCTCTAAGACCTGAGCGAAGAGTCGAATCGATTTGGGTGGTCTTGCTTGGACCTTTGTTTCCCAAAGTTCTCACAGCAAGGTATGGCTTGGGAGCCAATGGTTTGGACCCGGATGCGGTGCTGCAGATCTTCGAAGCGAAGGGTAGGCTCGGCATACAAGAAATCAGAAGAAATCCATCCCAGGAGTGTGACGGGTCAAGAGGCGCTTCGGTTTCATAGCAATGCGTGCCCTGACTCTTCGCTCCTAGCCCTACACTGATCAGTCATGCTAGTTCTCGAAAGAACCAAAGCAAGAGTGCATTTTCCAAGTGTCAGGCCACTGACAGATCCCTGCATCCTGCACGTGTCCAAGGCTGCAGATGCGCAGGTGCCTCAGAAGTCGGGAGGGGAGCGGCAGAAAACTCATCGTCAAGCCCTTATGAATCCTGCTTAAAGCCCTATATAGAATCGCTAGAGACCTACCATAAAATAGACCTACAGAAGAGGATAATGCAAAAATGAGCTTTGCCGGTCATTATTGTTACTATTATTGTTATGATTATTGTGATTATTACGATTGTTAGTAGTATAACTACTGCTACTATTATTATTGCTATTATTATTATTATTGTTATGGTTACTATTATTACTAGTATTACTTTGCCGAGGCATGCGCTTCTGGACCTGGATCCGGATGCCAGGGCTGTCTTCGACGTGCTCACGAAGGTTAGGGTTTAGGGTTCAGGGTTCAGGGTTTCGGGTTCAGGGTTTCGGGTTCAGGGTTTAGGGTTTAGGTTGCTCCTTTCGGGCCGCATGCGAATTCGGTGATTCGGGCTTGCTCGTTTGGAATTTAAAGTTTAAGACCTTCAGAATTGAGAGTTCGGGATCTTGTGGTTTCGGATTTCTGAGTTGGAGCTTAAATGCAATGGTGCAAACCTGCCGAACACTAAGCATCTAAAGATCGTGGTGTGAAAAGAGTTTGCCAATGCTGATGATGGTATCATAGCGTGGCATTGCTTTGCAGGAGTTCTGGCCGGGACCCCTCAGCATCGTGGGCCCGGCTCGCCAGTCCCTCAGCCATCAGAGCTCAAATCCCCAAAGGCGCAAACCTCAAATGAGACTTGGCTACTGGCTCAAGCCTGTGATTGCGCGGCACCGAGTCCAGAGTTGTTGATAATAGTCACACAACCTTGTGAAGTTCTGCATCACCGTGATATCTAGTCCAGTCCAATTTCGGCTTAATCCAGCCTGGCTGCTCCTATTTTGTTCTGGAAACCTATGATGTTTATGGAAACCTATCATGTTCAACATTCGCCGCCTTGCAGAAGCTTTGGGTGCCGTGCAGGCTGAGAATGAACTTGAAGCAGAACCGCCAAAGGCAAAGCAGCAAGCCACGGATGAAGCATCTGCAAGCGGCAGTGGAAACAACAGCACGGGCACACGTAGCCAGGCTGAAGCAGTTTCAAACCCAACAGCGCTTGGCACAGCTGCAGACACCCGGCGGCAGCTGTAGAGGAAACGATGCCTTGGCACGGGACTCGTTTAGATAACAGAGGACGAGGTCAAACAAACCGTTGCAGGTCACAGCAATGGCTTTCGTGGTAAAGAGAGGGCCGGCCGAGATGGTTTCTACGACTGCCACAAAAAAACGTTTCGCACGGAAGCAGCATGTCGCGTTTGTCATCGCGCCACTCGAGGAGGCAGCCACCGGCGACAAAGACCACTTTAGCGACTTTCGTGGATTGCCGACCAATAATTATGTCAAGTGCACCTTACCACAGTGACGGGCATGGTGTCCGTTGGCCTGCAGCTGTGAGGAAGTGTTCGGTGGATCCACGGATCTAGTTCCGCGTTTGTTCTGGCTTTTTACCACACCATGCCGCATGCTTTCGTTCGCGATGGTCCGAAGTCGTGCATGATCCTGCACGGAGCCGTGCCTAGCAAGACGGTTCGAAGCTGCGGGATTGTGTTCTTGAGCTCTTCTCTACCTTGAGTTCTGTAGAGTAATTTCAATCATCTGCGGTTATGAGGTGCTTCATTCCCGGGCACGAGATAAGACTGCATGGTTTGTTGGGCCACCGGGCAGGGCACACTGTTATTCTGTCGTTTCCTGCCTTCCGAACTCAACCTGTCCGAGAGTGAGTCTAAATCCAGACGCAATCTCCAGAAAACATGCTGAAACCACAAGATCCTAAGCTAGATCAGCAACCTTTCTTGAGGAATCTCCTTTTTTTTGCTCGAGCCGAGGCCCAGTGGTTCCTCCGCAGGTGACGGCCAGCACTGGCTTCGTGGCGGTGCGCTGCCCGTCCCATCCCCTTGCAAGGCCCGGCGGCCGTTGGCTGAACACGTAAGATGTAAGGGACGTCATGCCGCGGCGTAGGCGCTGATTTTTCAAAGTACCCATGAATATTCAGAAGCCTCGAATGTCTTTTTGCACTGTGCGTATATGCGGATTCACACGATGGTCCGAGTCTAGACGAGAGGGCATTGAAGCATCGATGAGGCAGTTGGTCGAAGCCGCCGGTGCACGGGCCTTGTCAGATCGGTTTCCTTCAGTCTTGGCTGTTGCAGTTCACGTTGCAAACATCTAAGAAACCACTGGCAGCGCCTTCTGCCAATCGCTTCGGCCATATTTCGCCGACGCTTCCCGACCACGTGCTGCAGGCCTGGAGGGTTTGGGGAATGGGTTTGGGGTTTTAATGGCTTACAGAGTATAGGGGACTTAGGCTTCCAGGTTTGGGAATTGTGGGAAGCAGCAGATGGTCCACTCAACTGTTATAGGTCTCCCTGAACACATGTCTGCGGCTGTTTGCTGAAGGACTTGCAGCACGTGCCCTTCCTTCAGATCCTCGATGGCGGACCCTGCAATGTTGGCATTGAGCCATTGGGTCTGCACTGATTATCAGGACCACCTTCTGCAGCCCACTCTCCTGAAGCCATCCCTCGACCCCCAGACCTTCAGCTCAGGTCCACCGTGGTGAAGCTTGACCTCGCAAGTTCTGCGAAATCACTGCTGCTCTTGCGGCAAGGCGGTGTACCGCGCGAGCGGCCGCTTGGACAAAGGGTGCATGGGCATAATATGATGCCGGAATATACTGTCAGGCGTTGGACGGGTTCGTAGAGCTGTATCCATATGGGTAGTTGTCTAAAATAGGATCCCTTTTAGGGTCCTTTTTTTCAGGGTGCCGTAGTTTCTTTGGGACCTAAAAGGGGACCCTAATTTAGAGAACTACCCATATGCATAATCATCAGCCTTAAACCCAGACCTCTGCCAACTTTTCCATTCGGGATGCAGGGCAAGCGGCGAGCAGAAAAGAGGTTTGAAACAAGAATCCAAGCCTGAATGTGTCCGAGTGTCAGTACTACAGTGTACCACATGTCGCGGCAGTACCACAGCACCCATACTAACATAGCACTGGTAGTCATATCATTAGATTGATTAGATGGAACCAAGACGCCCTAAACCCTAAACCCTCTTTTGCATAGTACTGGACAAGTCGTGGTTGTTCTGTTAAACACCGACCTGTACCTCTACAACCTCGCCTGGCATGTCCGAGTTGTGAGAGCGTAAACCCTCTCAACTTGCCCTGGGAGCTCTGGCGTGACGGAATTGTGTGGATCCTTGCCTGCTGTGCGCGAGAGTGAGAGTCGATTCCCTAAACGTACCTTCTAACTGCTGAGACACTGCTTTGGGCTTGTTGTTGCTTGTGGGAGCGTGCTGACGGTCAGTACTAGGGGTTATGGTAAGTTATGGTGGTACGGTGGTGAATCCCCGATGGCAGGTCTCCCAGAACTACCCCTCAGCCAAACTAACGTGGCATTCCGACTCCTGACATGGTAGGAAAAGAGGGCTCAACAAAAACATGTATCTTCTAGCAGATGGAAAAAGGCGCTCGAAGCCCTAAGCCCTGTCCGAGGGTGAGAGTCAGTTCTCCAAGGTTGGAGTCTTATCTGGCGGAGTGCTTTCAACGCGGAGACCTTCAGGCGTCAAAATTCGACGTCTCGCTGTCGCTTTTAGTTCGCGGGTTTCGGGTAGAGAACTTATGTCAGGATTTTCGATACCCATTGACTGATCAGGTGCTCAAGGTTGGACAAATCTCAAGATGAAGCTAAATGATGAAACTCTGGCATCTGATTCACGCCTGGAGGCACAGATGCCAGGTTTCCAGTTTAATTTAGGCATTCCCCCCTGCATCTGTGAGCAACGACTCTTCTGGTACTTCGACGACGTTAACATAGAACGTAGTTTATTCGCGAAGGCTAGGTGCAACTGAGGCTCTAGTTGAAGGCTAGTCATGTCGCCATCACAATTTTTGACGTTTCAAGCCTGGACCACAGCTGCAATCGCCAGTGAAGCCCTACCTACAACACTGCAGGCATGCTGAGTCCATGTTACAATGTCGCTGAGCAGGAAAGCATCTCTGTGGTGTCCATTGCGCGAAAGCCGAGGCAATCCTGACAGTTGGTTGCCTGGTCGATTGCTTTTTTTTCTCTGAGTTCTTGGCCCTAATGGCCCTAATTACAATTTAGCTGCAAGATCGAATCCCCAGATTCCCTCCATGCTGTTTGAAGCAGCTCGAACACAGCTGGAGAAGCTCAGCACCTCGTGCAACTGCGCGAAACTTGTCCGTCGCTCCTAATTAAGACTCCGGAACCGCAAGGGGAAAGTGCTATCCCTGGGACACCGCATGGAACAAGCAGAGGAACAGAGACGAGACACTTTTAGCACATGTAGTTTCAGGAAGGCCAGAAGTTCAAAACTGGTTGTTTTTCGGTAAACTTGAGCTAAGCAAGACCGTAAACAGGTCAGCTTAGAGGCGTGCACTGGGCAGGTCGGACCCAGTGGTCAAGCCAGATGACGAGGCGCAAATGGCACCTGGCATGCTGCTCGGTTTGCACTTTCATGTGCTATTGCCACTATTGCTGTTATTGCAGTCTTTGCGTTGCCTAAATTTGTTTTTACCTGCTGATGTGTGAGATGCTGTTGTCGATCAGTCAGAACGTGAGCACCTGGGAGTACGATGCTACGACTCATGTTATGATGCCAATGAACACATGGGCGGGTGCCGCAAATAGGGCCGCGATGCCCTTCAATACTGAACATTGGCCCCTCTTGTTGCTCGCCCGCCGGTGACCGCCCTCCCCCCACCTCCCTAGATGGAAGCTAATGCGTTGGCTAGGAAACTCCGCCAGCTGATGCAGGGTTTGAACCTGCGTTCAAAACAACTCCGCTTGCCATGCGAAGTGCAGAAGCACAACGAGCTACTGCATCAAGGTCAGAATCACGGAGGGGCAAAGCCGCCCCGATCTAACAAACTCAACGAGGTGTTCATCGACTGCTCTCTGCCGGTTGCTGGCACAACCAACCCGTACAAAGATGGTAACTGCTTGCAGCACGTAATTGCGGATGCTTCCGACAGCTGCTCTGGCATGCTCCTGCTAAATGACTCGTCGGCCTGTTGCGCAGCCAAATGCAGAGTGAGTATTTCCACGTGGTCATGTGTCAGCTCTGTTTTTTTGACGCCTAAGGTGTCTTGAATCCTGTGCCGCCCGTGTTGTGATATTACCAAGGCTCTTGAAGCATTATGCACCATCTGTCAGGGACTCAGCGCTCCGCACAGACATCGAGCCGTGCGCGAGTGGTCCATGATCACTCGGCTGGAGGTGCACACCGTGCTTCTCTCACCCAGCTCTTCGCACGATGGCGGGCTGGAAATACCCAGCCCGCCGCATCGAAGCGTGCTGTCTCTGTCTCAGCCATCCGGGCGGGGCATAGCCACACTGGCACCTGCCAGCGCCTGGCTCAGGATTGACTTTGGTGGAAGACAAGCGGATCACCACGGGCTCTTCCTGAAGGTTTACGAGCTCTGTGAAAAGGAGCTTTCACATGCGGTACGTGTAGCTGCTTGTCGGAATGCACGAGGTGTGTCCAAGACACTTGTCTTGAAGCTTCGGTCTTGTATTGGCAATTGCAGCACATGCAGGATGGAACAGCTGGCAAAGGGACAGCTGAGGACCACGCATTCACCGACCCAGGGATCAGGGAGGGAGACAGTCGCACTCTGCTGCTGCTTGTGCATCCACTGTCCCGCGAGCACTCATGGGATAGCTTACGGCGGTTATGTGCCATGCTTGGCACGGTTTGTACTCCGGAGCGGGCCAGCCTTCAAAACGCTTGTTTAATCTCTGGCCACATGACGAGAACTCTGCTTCATTCGGAGGACGCCTGCAGGCATGTTTTCGCCACTCTGCGAGCTGCAGAAGCGTATGCAATTGCGGAGAAGGCAACAGCCTTCAGCTTTCACTGAGCGAAGTCCGTGGCCGCATTCTTGACAGGTGGAGCTCATCTGCGTTGCAGATTTCGATCCGGAAGGCTTGGGAGGATACGCTGAGGCTTTGCACGACAGGCCAGTGCGGTGCATGGGCATTTTGCGTGTGAGCTCACCGGCTTAGAGCACGCAGGGTCGTGCATTCTCATGGTTCGGATAGGGGACCTGCGCTGGAATGTACGATCCTACACTGATACGTTGCCGGGTGCGCAGTGCTCATTGGAATACTTTCGAATCGGGGCATCCAGGCAGGTCCGCACAGCCCTACAGTACATCTTCGGGGCACATGTGAGAGCACGGACATGCAGCAATGAGCGTGCGGTCTGTTTATGTTTACTTTCGCCTCGTCCTATCACAGCAGATTGCTGACATGCACTGGTGCTTGCGTCGCCATCGTTGTTCGGGGTTCCGCCGGCATTACATGGCCCACGTCCTCCAGCTGACTGTGTCAAGCAATTGGGGGTAATTGAGATGTCAGTGCCGTAATTATTTGGCCAGCCGCAAGGCGTGTGTTGCCGACAGCGGGTGCAGAAAGCACATGAATGCGTGCAACTGCTTCAGTGTGTGTGTGTGTGTTGTGGTTTGCGCCTTACCCAGAAGGAGATAGC